TGCACATGCAATAGCATAAAGTGGCCATTTTGAAGATACATGTAACTACTCAAAAGGTACATTACATGGGGTTTGCAACTAGCATGACATGTCCTAAGATCCTGTTTCAATCTCGATCTCGCATAATTGTTCCCAACTCAGAACAATGCGAATGTGCATGCCCACGATTACTAGGATACTGAGAGGTCCAGGTGGATCAAAATAGCTGCTCACGATATGACGGATTACGATAACTACATTTTCTGTAAATTTTCGATGTATTACATTTTTTCACTATGATAGTGGTCAGACATGTTTTATTGTTTTATTACAAACCTTGAACATTGATATATGTCATGTCAGAAGGTCGTAGCATCAGTCTCACTATCTACAAGATGAGACTTGAATGGGATCTTGACATGTCGCCATACAGTACTATGAGCGTTGCAAATAATGTACCTCTGCTATTAAGTTAAACATGCATAAAAATATTGTTGTTTAGGCCTGTATGTTGTATTATGATGTCATTGTTTTGGCAGTACATGAAATAGTATACATTTAGTAAAAAATTAAATACACTAAAATGCATGGTCCCCATCAAGTATACCCTATATTTCAATATGACATACCACTGTCAGAGGCATATATTTCAGGAACCTTGAAAAATCAAACACAATTTTACCATTGAACATTTCACTAGGTTCTTTTGAATACCATCACATTTTTATTAGGAATGCAAAATTTTAATTTCTCACCTTGTAGAAACTGAAGTGGGATCAATATGCCATACTAGAATGCAGCTATGGCAAGCCACAGCCAGAACAGATGCTGATAAGGGCTTCCAGACTAGCATAGCAATACCTTTCTGTAGTTTATGTTTGCACACTGGAACAATTTCACTAGAAAACACAGTGATCAAAATCAAAGAAAGCTTAGAAAGAACTCCCATGTGCTGAGAGTATTGGAGACACATTAAATATAATTCGAAATTACTTAGCTGAAAACTAATTATGCAAATCAGAAAATTAATATGACCAGATTTGAGTGTAAAACTAATGAGGTCTGCGCAATGTAACAGAAAATCTATGTCTCCAAGTTTAATTGAAATGTGATTAGAACCAAAAAATTATGAATTATTATGCTTATTAGGGAATTAATATGAACAGATTTTTACCCCAAACTAATTAGGTTTGTACATTGTCCTAGAGCATCTTTATACTAAGTTTCATTGAAATGGAATAATTAGTACCGTGAAAACTCCAAAATTTCGACCCCTCTAAAAATTCGGGCCGCCTATTTATTTGCCGGTTTCTGTGTTTTATTTACCTACAAATTTTCGACTCCACTAAAAATTGCCGACTCATTCTTATTCGAAAATTGC